GGCTCTGCCAGCCAGCACTGTGCTGTTGCATTGCTGAGTCCGTATTTATCCAGCCTTAAGCTTAGGCAGGAGGACACAAAGGATAAACAGCTCATTATATTTTAAGAAAGCAAACTTATAAAATAATATCTTCCTTTTAAAAATCCAAGCAGCGTATAAGTGTGTCCAGAGACTCTTGGAAAGCACCTCCCCTCCTCATCCTCTCTTGCCCGATCCCCAGGGGTAGCCACTTAACAACGATGTCTCCAGTGACTCCTTAATTTCCCTGCCAGCGATGGGTTGTGTAGGATCCATACCACAGCAAGGCTGTTTTTAACAAGCATCCCAGACTTCAGGGGGTTGAGGAAAGGGGAAGAGAAAATATTCCATTTGTATATTTTTAACCTGCACACATTTGAGTAAGCAGTGGCTTTCCTGTTCCCGCTACCAGGGTTGTGGGCAATTGATTAGGCTATGGGTGCTGGGTAATCCTTTCTGTTCCCCTAATGAGGCTAGAGACTGTGAGGGGCTCAGGGGACATTTGTGTTGCTTCCGGTGCAGCGTGGTCTCAGCTGGCTGCCTCCTGATCCTTCTGCCCTCAGCCCTCTCCCTCCCTTCTGGCAGCCTCTAGAATCCTGGCTGGGTCTCCAGGGCCAAGAAGGCCTGGGAACCTGATTCTCTGGGCCAAGCTCATATTTAGAAATGTCTCCAGCCAGACACTGGCGACTGTCCCACTTGGGCTCTGGCAGGGATTGTGATCGCATGGGCTGCCTTCCGGCGTGCAGCATGGGAGTGGGCACCAGCACACTGTGAGTACCAACACGGTCCCTTTACGCTCAAGTCTTGGCAGTGGATGCTGTGCTCCCAAGCACGGGGGGGTGGGGAATGAGCTGGCAGGTGGGTCAGCCACAGGGACAGCAAAGGGATGTGGCCTGGGCTTGACCTGGTGAGCTGGTGGTGTGGAGGGAATCTCTCTGCCCAGTTCTGGCACCCCTTATCTAGGTTCTCAGAGTGCTATCCCTGCCTGAAGAGGGGCCTGCTGCCTTCTGGGTCAGACACTGCCAGTCAGGCCCTTCCCTTTCCTTTCCACCTATGAGTCCCGATCTATGGTCAAGAGCAAGGCCAGCTGCCCAGAGCCTGCTCTGCTCTCCTCTTGAGCAGCCCGCCCCTCCACCTCTTGGAATCATCTCTATAAAAGATGACCCAGGGTGATGTCATCACTTGCTCACCTGCCCTCTTTTCCAGGGCAGCCTGGAGTGATGGATTAAATAGACACACTGATCAAGGTTTTAGACCATTGCCTTTCCAGGTAGCAGATATCATGCCTTAGCCCTGTGCTAAAACAACTCCTTTAAGGCTGGGTCAGATATTTAATGAGCATCTTATAAAGGTAGACTCTATGCTTGTCATCCCTACACAAGAGACTATGGGAAATACTCTCATACCCCCTTAAATTACACCACCCCGCCCTCTGCAGGTCTGCCCGGAGACCTGCTCACCACATAAGGCTTCCTTCCTATCTACCTAATAGCCAGAAAGAATCCAAATGCAGCCACAAGACTTACTGCCTACAGCTTGACACCAAACCAAACCCCTGCTTCAAGTCCCTGCCAGCCCTTGCCATGCTGCCCCATCCTTGCCTCTGCTGCCCAGGTCCTGGGGAAAAGAGCTCCTAGAAGAGGCAGGAAAGTTGAGCAGGCATTTTGCTCTTACCACCAGAGCAGCATGGTGAGTGTGTAGGAACTGAAAGAGTGGATGGATGGACCAGTGGCAAAGGGACAAGTGAGTGACAATACAAACAGACGCTTAAGCTCTGCCTCAGAGGAACCTCAGGCTCAGACAGAAGGAAATGGCTTATAAGCTGGTGGCTCTTTGGGGCTGAATAAAACCCTTGAACCCTGGGGCCGGCAAGATAGCTCAGTGGACTAAGCACCTGCTTTGGCAAGCGCAAGGGACCAGGGGTTCCATCCCCAGTCCTGCATGCCTTGCTGGCCCCGCCCTGGGGTGTGCCAGGTGTGTTGGCCCAGGTCTGTAATCCCAGTGCTGGGAAGGCTGAAAACAAGAGCATCATTATGAGTCCAAGCTGTGTAGTGAGACCCTGCACCAAATACATACAATGAAAAAAACCCAAACCCTTGAGGTCAGACCCAACCTTTCCTTTTTTGGGAAAGGATCCATAGGCCCAGGGGAGTGGAGGCTGCCACAGTGCCATCCACGGAGGTCAGAGGGTGACAAGGAAGCTCAGAGCAGTGAGATCCGGGAGGGAATGGAAGGCTGCCCTAAGTGTCCCTTGTCCTTGGTAAAATTGCCTTTTCATATGGTTGGGAGTGGACAGTGCAGTTTTTCTTTGAGGGTTAATTGTTTGGCTGACAGCGCAGATAATTAGGAATGAGAATCCCGGAGTGAGGGCGACAGCACCATCTGCCATGAGTGTGTTCCAACCCCACCCCACAGGAGGGCCCGGAGCACTGCTCACACCCTCCCCAGGGCTGTGGGTGCTCTGTTCTTTGCTGCCAGCCCAGCCACTGGTGACCAAAAGCCAGCGGACTGGATGGTGGCTGGCATTGTTAGGGTGCAGCTTCTTGTCTTCTGCCGTGCTGTCCCCTAGATATAGCAGGGTGCACCGAGCGCTCCAAGGATGAACAAATGTGGTGGGCAGCCTGGGACACAGGGCACTCATGCCAGTGGCTGCTTCCTGTGTTCCCTGGGGCCTCATGCAGGAGGTCTGGCCGCCGCAGGGCTGCCATGGTGCTTTAGGCTGTTCTCCTTCCAGCCTCTATGAATCTGCCGCCTGTCCTGGGCTCCCTGGCCCCTGGCCTGTGCTGCATGCTCCAGAAGAAGGTTGGCCTTGCCACTAGGGATGTCCCAGGTGTCAGTGCGGGTGGAGTGCTGTGGAATCACACTTAGAACCCCACTATCTGAGACGTGCGGAAATTTGTAATTTTTCTCTTTCCTTTTATTTTTAGGGATAGAGCACACATGTAAAAGAGCATATGAAATGTGTGTGTGCCTTTTGAAGGTAGTGACAATAGAGGCCTTGCCTTTTAAAAGAGACTTCTAACCCCCTTCTCAGGTTGCCTTACAAGGAGGGCCCAGCTGCCCAGGTGCTAGGGGTCAGCTCGGCCTCACCTAGAATCTGGGCTCCCATCACAGCCAGTTTCTTTTGCTGGAGCTGCTCCTCTTAACCATTCCTGTCTTCTCTGTGTATCGCTTTGTTCTCTCTGTACTTGCTCTGCTTAGACCTTCCTGCAAGGGAAGAAACCAAATCCTGAGCGTTCTCTTCCCACAATGCTGCAGCTGGGCACATGGCCACAGTTCTCCTCCTCTCTCCTGGTCCCACTCATCCCCCACCCCCAGGGGTGACTTGGCAGGAAGATGAAATTAACCTAGCACCAGGGAGCTTGGCTGCAAAGAATGAATGTTGGGAGTTGGAAATTCCAGTCTTGATGTTCTCCACTAATTTACTACGTGGCTTTTAGCAAACTTCTCATCTTCTCTGTGCTTCTGTTTCCTCATCTTTGTAACCTTCCTTTACAGAGCTACCAGGAAACTGAATGTTCGCAGTGGATGCAAAAGAAGCTTGAAGCATATAAATCATTCTGTATGTGGCTACGTCTGTACATAAGACAGTGCTTTCACCATGCTTACAAAACTCTGTAGGGCAGAGGAAGCATTAGTTTCTTCCTTTCCTTTGCTGCCCACTCTCTGCTTCTTCTTGTCCACAGTGCTGGGTTACCTGGGTGGTTGTACACCATCTACCACAGCCCCTTCTGGGCAAAGAGACTGCTGAGGCTCAGAGGAGCCCAAGGTTGGGGTGGAGTTTGAGTGACAGCCATGCGGGCAGTGGGAGCTAGGGGCTAGGCTGATGACAGAAGCAGGGCTGTGGGCAGGATGGACCCAGTGCTCAGGAACAGGCTGGGGCAGATCAGCTTCAGCTCCTGGAGGGTGTGAGCTGAGATCTGGGCCCTGAAGTGGAGGGACTCAGCAGAGCCAGTGTTCCTGTCCCTCATCCCGGGGAGCTGCGTATCCCTGCTCTTGCCTCTCACTTTGAGGTGAAGGGCTGTTGCGTTAGTCAGCTTTGTGTCACTGTGAAATGATACCAGAGAGGAGCAGCTTAGAGGAGGAAAGTGGATTTTGACTTAGGGTTTCAGGCCATGACGGGCTGGCTCCATTGCTGTGGGGCTGAGCAGAGCAGAATGTCACGGTGCCAGGGCATGGCAGAGGGTGCTCCCCTCAAGGCAGCTGGAAGCAGAGAACACGAGCACCAGAGGAAGGGGCTGGGACCAGATATAGTCCCGAAGCCACACTCCCAGGATTCTCTCTGCCTAACCAAACCCCATCTCCTGTTTTCACCACCATCCAATATTGCCATTAAACTACAGTCTCATCAGTGGGTTCATTCACTGATGACATTAGAGTCCTAATGAACCAGCCACCCTCAGAAAGTCCTACTTCTGAATACATGAGACTTTGGGGGCCATGTTAGATCTGAACATAACACTAGCTGCAGATTGGGTACCTTCCTGGAGCTCTAAGACCACAGCACACCGAAGCCTCATCTCAGCGTGGGGAAATATTTCTTGGTAGACTGCCTTGTTCTTCGGATGTCTTATGGGTGGAGTGAAGGCATCTGTTTCCTTCCTCTTTCCTGGGCAGTGGTATCTCTCAGAAGTTCTGTTCATGAGTGTGAGGTGGACTCTGAATGGTGGCTAGCATGTGGATGCATGACTGAGGGTGGGTCTTGTAGGTATAATGAAATAAACAGTGGTAAGAAGACAGGAATGGAAGGGTGTGTGTGTGTGTGTGTGTGTGTGTGTGTGTGTGTGTGTGTGTGTGTGTGTTTAGACCTGTGAGGAAGATGCTATAGGGAGAACTCTGGATAACAGGATTGGTGTAGTTACCAGGCATTTCAAACCTAACAATAAGAACCAGCAAGAGATGATTAGAAAGTTAGAGAACAGCTTACACCTGGGTGTGCGGCTCTGGTTCTGGTGGATGACAAGGCCTCTGTCTCCCTGCAGATTCCCTCTCAAGCACTTGGTAGCTCAGCTGAGGAACTTCCCATCCCTGAGGAGCAGTCCACTAGGAGAGGAAGAAGGGATGGCGTGTAGCCCACCCATGGCCTAAGGAGTCTGTGTAGTCCACAGCCTGTGGGACTGGGAGCCTCCGAGGGTGTGACTCAAGAAGAATCGATGCTTCAGCCCCCAGCGACATGTACACGGTGTAATGACAGGTAATGAACCCAAAACTCGTCTATCTTTTCTGAATGATATGGCAGGTAGGAGAATATATCAGCTTGCAGTAGACATAAAATGTCAACCCTTAGGAAGATAACTATGCAAACAAAGTACCGGAAAGCCTGATAAGATGATAGATGGATGCTTTATAGTTATTAGTTTTTGCCCATGTGCTTGCTGGAGCCAAGCACCGGAAGATTTAGCATCAGCTGGGTTCACTTCCTAGGCCTGGGAAGAAGGCTGATGCCTTTATGGATGTAGCCTGTCTTGTTTGAGAAAATCAGGGAACAAATCAAGAAGTCGTAATTTCTGCCAGCTCCTGAGGGAGGCAGGGAGCTGACACCAGTAGGGAAACAAAGGCAGCAGTAGGCCAAGGGGCATATCCAGGCATGGGGGCATGAAGGAGGAATTGGAGACTCAGGATTCCAGGTTCAGCTCTGATAACTTGAATGACCGAGTGTGGTAATGGGCTGGTATTTTTCATGAAAAAAGGAAAAGAAGGCTTGTGATTCCCCATCATCTCAAGGGTGTCAGGGCAGGCGGAAGAGAATTGAGGGTGGTTGGCAGCGATCGCACACAGGAGTCTGGATATGGGGGTTTCAGCCAATGGCTTGGGTCAAGCAGTTGACCTAGGGACTTAGCCAAGGCCAGCTGTGTTGGGCAGGTCCCTAGATCCCAAGGCAAGGCCTTGAGGCTAGAAGGATAGGGGAGCAGCAGGGCTGGAGACCCCAAAGTGAGCTAATCACATGGCACAACCTGTTCCTGCTGGTATCTGGTCTTTGCCACGTGTGCCAAACACTGTACCATTCTGTCATCTTCACTATGAGGAAAATACAGGCTGAGATGGAAACAAAAATAGCTTTGAGCCTTGGGAAACTGACCAGGGCAAGGGAAGAAGGGCCAGGGGCCTGGAGCAGGAGGCCCAGGAGGGTGTGGCAAATTCCATTCCAGTGCAGGCCGGTGTCAGGGTCCCCAGGGTCAGAGCCAAGAGCTGGGGAGGAGCAGAGCATTAGGACTTCTGGGTGGCCTTATTCTAAATCAGGCTAGAGAATAAGTTGAAGGAGTCCAGGAAGCAGAGGCCAGCCCTAGGAGATGGATTAGTCACAGGCACCAGTGGGTCTAGGACTTGACTCATGTCTATAGGAGGAAATGGAAGGGAATTGCTTCAGGACTGGTGATGTCAGGAGGGGTAGAGCTGGGGAGAGGAAGCTCCACAGGTGCCTGGTGTTAAATGTGACCCAAAGGTGCAGGCCCTGGGCTATCCCCAAACGTCAGCTCTTCATGATCTGTAACATTTCCATCTTTGCTGGGAACGTGGGCAGGACTAACCTGGGATGCTTAGTGGGGAGCCATTGTGGAGGACAGAGCAGAGGTAGAAAAAGTCCAGCCCTGTGAGGGGGGTGGGCCAGGACTCTTGATCAGGAAAGAAGGGGCAGCATGCCGCCTAATCCCAGCCAGCCAGGCTGGAGGGCCAGCCCCGCCAGAGCTTCTTCATTGGCTTTACCAGCACTAACCAAGCACCTATTATGTGCTGGGCTCTTTGGATGCCAGAAATGCAGAGAATCAGATGCAGTCTACTCCCAGGGGAAGGAATGCAAGGCAGAGGAAGAAGCATACAAGTCAGTCCACACTTTCTGGAGCCTCAGGCTCCTGTCTTCAGAATGGGAATAAGAATTTCACTTGTAGGCTGGTCTGAGAATCAAATAAAACAAAACATGCAGAACACTTAGCCCAATGGCTAGCACCACAATTAGTGATCAATACATTTAGTTTCCTCCATTATTCTGCTCTGGGAGGAGCTCAGGGTCTAGCTGGGTGAGAGTGGAGCAGGTTGGGAGAGATGCATTCTGACCCAGGTCTTCGGCTGGGTGGCTGACAGTATTTGAGGCCTGAGCTTTGAAAACCTGGAAATCAGAACTCATCTGGCTACAGAAAGTATGGCTTAAAGTGGATACCAGCACAGTCGGTGACTGTGACATATGTGAATGCTGTGGCAGATGGGGCCCTGGGTAAGACAGGAGATAGGAGAGACAGGCCCAGGAATTTGAAGAGAGAGGACGTTCCCAGCATGCTGGAAGAACCCTGCTTGCCAGGCAGGGTGTTGTGCTGTGCTACTGAGCTATGTTACTGGCCCCGGAGTTATATCTCCGGGGCCTAATTTTAATAATGTATTTCAGTTAACTCAGTTTGTCCAAAGTATTAGACTTTCAACATGTAATCAGTGTAAAGCCTACGAAGGAAATGTTTTGCATTTCTTTTGTCATATCCAAGTCCTTGAAATTCGGGTGTACTGTATGCTTGTAACACATCTTGGCCTTGCCTGGCCACACTGCAGGTATTCAACAGCCTCATGTGGCCGGTGGCTACTGGGTTAGGTAACACAAACTACAAGCTAACATCTCTTAGCAAAGAGATCCCTGAGCTGCAAGCAGAATTTACCCTTTCATTCTCTTCTTAGGGAAGGTCTAGAGGGAGTCCCTGAAGGATATTTTCAGTTACCTGTTACAGATGGTGACTTGTGTTGTCTGGAACCAGCTTAGCTCAGGCATATCAGCTGGGCTCTGGAGTCAGCAGTCCCTTACATTTCTGGAGCTGACTAGAGCCAGTTCCTGGAGCCCCCTGAGCCTCACTGAAAGGGAAATAATTCTTCTCTTACTGAGTAACTATAAAAATGAAAAGAAATAACGAATCATCACTTTGTGATGCTTGATGTCAATAATATTTTTTTTTCCTACATCAAATGAGAACGAATCTGAAGTCTCTTACTAAGTTTAGCAAGAGTCTCCTAGTGGGCATTTCTGTAGCTGTGTCTCTCCCTTTCTGGTGCACGAGAAACTTGCAGGGTTGGCAGGTCAAAAAAAATGGGGAGGGTAGAGTGACCTGGACTCCACCCAGCATGCTGGAGCTGCGTGGGGCCCTCCTGATGCAGCCACGTGTGGTCACCTGAGGAGACAACCCCAGCAGCAGGCTTAGGCCCCAGTGCCAGCTCTGCCACAGAGGTTGCTGGGCCCTGGCCTTCTTTGGAGGGTGTGGACATCACCAAAGCGCATTCCAGAGTGGGGAATGTTGCCAGGCACTCTGGGAACCATGTCATCGCCACTGCCTTGGGGTCCAAGCTACGTGTCTTTCTGTGCTTTCTCTCCTATCTCCAGGCCTACCTTTGGAACAAAGACACCCCCCCCCCCCTTCTTTTCACAGCTCTGAAAATGTAGCTAACTCCTTCTTGGGGTAAGAAAGCTCAAATCTCATTATCACAAAATGTGACTCTGTGGGTGGGGGGCAGGTATACCCTTCTTGTTGTTCTGTGACTGCCATCCACAGTCACTGCTGCCATCCTATAGCAGTAGAAAGGAGTAATTGCTCCCGCTTCTGTTAGCACAGTGTCCCGCATGCACAGCAGGCATGAGGTCAGCTCTTCATAAGGTCATATTCCCCCATGCCAGCCTCTTCTGAAGAACGTGTTAAATAATTTCTGCCTTCTGGAGTTTTTCACGGACTCAAATGAGCTACTGTATGTGAAAGTCCGTTGTAAAGTTAGTGAATGTCATTGAAACTCTTGGTTTCCTGGTGTAGGGGTGCTGTTGGACCTGAGAGCTGGAGAGGGGCTGCCACTGTGAAGGTACCTACTATTGCTACCATGTGGCATGCTAGGACCTGCATTGTTCTCGCCTAGCCCAGGCCCAGCCAGGATGAGCCCTCAGAACTAACTCATTGCTCCCTGCTCTCTGGGAGAAGGGAGGGACTTGGCACTCTGGGAACCATGTCATTCCCACTGCCTTGGGGTCTAAGCTACGTGTCTTTCTGTGCTTTTTCTCCTACCTCCAGGCTTATCTCTTGAAACACAGCCCCCTCCCACTCCCTTTCTTTTCACAGCTCTAAAAATACAGTGGCATGGTAGGTGCCCCTGACGTCTTCATTCTCCTTAGCTGATTAGGTGGGATTTCTAGGCAGGCCCTTTGAGTTTGGGCCTCGTGTAGATCATGATGGCCATGCATAATCCATCACTCTTGGGATTAGGGAGGAGGCTTCTAAGGAGGTCCATACCCCCAGCCCCATCCCTGCATGGGTCTGGCAAAGACTACTAGGCTAGAGGAGAAGGGCTCCACAAAGGTCCTAAGTCCCCCTGCCTGGGATCAGGAGGTACAGGTGGGTGACACTGAAAGTAGCTGGGTGTCAGCAGCATAGAATCAGGGCAAAATCACAGAATGAATGGAAACTCCTCAGGCCTTCAGCCCTGAACCCGAATTTTCAAAGTTGGGGCCACACTAGAGTTAGGGGCCTTTGATGCTTGCCACAGTGGTATTGGGGTCACTGTAGACCGAAGGTCTCCCCATGTCAGTGGCTGGCCCTTATTTCCTGCTGCCTTTCTGGCCTGAGCTTTCCAGGCTGTGACAAATCCTAAAGGAGTCTGCCAAACCTTCTAATGTCTGTTTTAGAAGGTAACGTATGGCACATTTGAGTGGTGGTGTGAGTGGGATCACTAAATAAGCACACTAGATAGGGTGGTGGTCCTGCTCCTTCTTAGTTTGTTGTGCAACCCCATGCAGGTCTCTTAACTTCTCTAGGCCTTGACGTTCTCCTCTGTTAAATGGGCACAAGAACATGTACTGCAGTGATTGACTCCTACAACTACGGGCACAGGCATGGTGAAAGGAAGACACCCAAGGCTCTCAGTTCCCCAAGATTTGTGAGCACTGCGGCAATTCTCTTCCCTTGCCAAGCCTAGCAGTGTGGCATTCTTTTTGGCACAATTAGTCTCTGGGTTCTGGGGCCCCACAGGAAACAGTTCCTTATATAAGACCTTACATTTTGCGGCACAGAGAGACAGGAAGCCATGTTGTCCTTGACTGACAACCTTCATATGTGTATTTAACAATTTTAATTTTTCATGATTCTTGTGATAAAAATAGTGCCCAACTAAAAACAAATAACATTTGTATTTTCTATCTCCTTAATTAGTTTCTAATTTGGGGGTTCTTATTAGCTTAAAATCATC